ACCATCTTGAGTAAGGACAGATGATTCATGTAGTATTTTCTGGAATTCATCTTCCTTTAGCTCAGGCATGCAGGCAGGTGTGCTTAGATGAGAAAGCCCCTCCTGAAGACTCCTGGGATGTATGACATCATTTGCCTTGGCATGGAAACCAGGAGGTAACTAAAGAAATGTAAAAAACAATTCAAAACAAAGTAAATATGATATGCATCCCTATTTATTTACTAATACTAGCAGCATAAGGTTTAAAAATAGTAAATGTTGATTGAGAGAGTAAAGTTCCACTTTAAGGTAAAAAAAAAAAAACCTTCTGGGTGCAGCTCCCCCTCCCCCCTTATACCTACCTGAGCCCCATATTGTCCAGCAATGTGCATGAGAGTAGCAGCTCTCCCAGGTCTCTCCCCCCCATTGGCTCACACAACAGTGGGAGTCATTGGCTAATGCTGTTGTCAACCACAGCCAGTAAGCTAATGAGGAGGAGAGAGGGTGTGTGTGTGTGAGAATGGACAAGGTCCATTTACAGAAGCGTGGCTCAGGAGCGAGCATGCAGTGCCCCCACAGCATAAGGCTTGCTATTAGGGGCAACCGATTGGGGTGAGGAGCCTGGAGCGCATGCAGGGGACCCTAAAAGAAGAGGATCAGCGCTGTTCCATGCAAAACCATTGCAAGAAGCAGGTATGAATAACAGGTTTGTTATTTCAAAAAAACCAAAAAAAAAAAAACCACAAGCCTTTAGTATCACTTTAAAGTGAATTGACCAGCAGTTTTACAAGTCTGCGTGAGTCTTGGCCTGACACAATAAACAGAAACAGTACAAAAAATAAAATCATTAAAAATTATGTAATCAGCTTGCTAATGACAGGAAGATGCTTTTTCTTAGTTTCCCCTCCCACAGTGACCAGTATCGTGCTATGGTAGATCACAAGGTAGGAGGCTATGATAGATTTTTATATTGGCCAATCAGAGTCAGAGGCAGCAGAAAGACTGAGCTGTGTGGGTGGGATGGATTTTTACAATGGCTGGTCCCAGGTTGTGCAGATGAGCTCTGTATGACTTGCATACACAGACATGTATAAAAAAAAAAGCCACTGCAAAGGCACTGGATCATCTATGGGCCAGCATTAAAGTCCAGAAAGTATATGCTCACCTTAACCAATAATCACTGTGCCCTTCTGGGTGGAAAACAAGGCACTGTCAAGGTACTGTGATTTCTTGAATAGGTTAAGTCTGCTTTAAAGCTGGCAATGCATGGATCAAAATTCAGCCAGTTCTGCAGGGACCGGACAAATTTTGAACAATGTTGTACAGAAGTCTAACCACCCTGTTGGGTTTTCCCCGCTTGAGGCTATAGTCAGCAGCTCTGATCAGTGTACTCTGACAGCAGGAAAGTCTCCCCATTGTCAGAAAACTATAGCTCGGTGGGGGAGGAGGATTCTCCCATCCACATGGAGTTAGTTGAAAGAAAAAAAAAAAAAAAAAAAAAAAAAAAAAGATTAAAAAAAAAGAAAGAAGACATCTGTGGGCTGCTTAGGACTGGTATTTAAATCCTTGCACAAGCCCATGACTGCTTCTCTTTTAAGTGCAATTGCTATTAGCAAAGCTTTGCATTGTAAAAGAGACTTATCTGTAACAAAAGTGTCCTACTACTGTCTGCTAGCAAACTTGCAAAATGTGCAATGTTAACATTCCTTGCCAAGATGAATTAACGCCTGTACACCCAGGCTGGCCAATCAAGATGGCTGACCTCCAAACCCCCCCCCCCCCCCCCCCCAAAAAAAAAATTTTTTTTTTTAAAGCATAACATGCAGCATTTTTATTGTCTGTTGGCTGACGTCACAGAGCTGGTCCCACACTCTCGACAGATCGCAACTTTAAAGTGAAGATCCACTCAGATGCCTGGACAGACAACTGAATCAACCTCTCAGACAGTCACTCCCGCCCCCTCCACAGCCCGGTGCGCTAGTGAGTGCTGGAGGGACGGAGCAGAGGCTCTCTACTCACTGAAGACTGAGAGCAGCAGTCTTTGATTGCTCAGTTCTCAGTCTTAGAAATGGCGGGGGACAGATGCAGTAGCGAACCAATGCTGCATCCACCTAGGCGAGTATAGATTTTTTTTTTTTTTTATTATTCCCAAACTTCTCTTTTAAAGTGTAGAAGTTAACATTTTTGTCTGTGCCCCACTACGAAAATGTTTCCCCTAATAAGAAAACGGGGGGAGTGGTTGTCACTGGGACAGAAGTCACAAACAGCTGGATAATATATCCCCATCACATTGGCTGATTTGGAAATAATTTATTTGCAAATTATGGTGGAAAATAAGTATTTGGTCACCTACAAACAAACAAGATTTCTGGCTCTCACAGACCTGTACCTTCTTCTTTAAGAGGCTCCTCTGTCCAGCACTCATTACCTGTATCAATGGCACCTGTTTGAACTTTTTTATCAGTAAAAAAGACACCTGTCCACAACCTCAAACAGTCACACTCCAAACTCCACTATGGTGAAGACCAAAGAGCTGTCGAAGGACACCAGAAACAAAATTGTAGACCTGCACCAGGCTGGGAAGACTGAATCTGCAATAGGCAAGCAGCTTGGTGTGAACAACTCAACTGTGGGAGCAATAATTAGAAAATGGAAGACATACAAGACCACTGATAATCTCCCCTCGATCTGGGGCCCCACGCAAGATCTCACCCCGTGGAGTCAAAATGATCACAAGAAAGATGAGCAAAAATGCCAGGACCACACGGGGGGACCTAGTGAATGACCTGCAAAGAGCTGGGACCAACGTAATAAAGGCTACCATCAGTAACACACTACACCGTCAGGGACTCAGATCCTGCAGTGTCCCCCTGCTTAAGCCAGTACATGTCCGGGCCCGTCTGAAGTTTGCTAGAGAGCATTTGGATGATCCAGAAGAGGATTGGGAGAATGTCATGTGGTCAGATGAAACCAAAATAGAACTGATTGGTAGAAACACAACTCGTCGTGTTTGGAGGAGAGAGAATGCTGAGTTGGATCCAAAGAACACCATACCTACTGTGAAGCATGGGGGTGGCAACATCATGATTTGGGGCTGTTTCTCCGCAAAGGGACCAGGACGACTGATCCATGTACAGGACAGAATGAATGGGGCCATGTATTGTGAGATTTTGAGTGCAAGTTCTATCAGCAAGGGCATTGAAGATGAAACGTGGCTGGGTCTTCCAACATGACAATGATCCCAAACATACTGCCCGGGCAATGAAGGAGTGGCTTCGTAAGAAGCATTTCAAGGTCCTGGAGTGACCTAGCCAGTCTCCAGATCTCAACCCCATAGAAAACCTTTGGAGGGAGCTGAAAGTCCGTGTTGCCCAGCGACAGCCCCAAAACATCACTGCTATAGAGGAGATCTGCATGGAGGAATGGGCCAACATACCAGCAACAGTGTGTGCCAACCTTGTGAAGACTTACAGGAAACGTTTGACCTCTGTCATTGCCAACAAAGGATTTATAACAAAGTATTGAGATTAATTTTTGATATTGACCAAATACTTATTTTCCACCATAATTTGCAAATAAATTCTTTCCAAATCAGCCAATGTGATTGTCTGGATTTTTTTTCTCATTTTGTCTCTCATAGTTGAGGTCTACCTATGATGCTAATTACAGGCCTCTCTCATCTTTTTAAGAGGGAGAGCCTGCACAATTGGCAGCTGACTAAATACTTTTTTGCCCCACTGTATTTCAACATGTTTTACTGGCTTCTGTTTCTTGTAAAGAACTGGCTCCTGTCATGCTATATGACTACTGAGTCACGATGTAGACCCTCATTTTGGAGAGAGATTTAAGGAAACACAATTTTCATGCTCACCCACTCATGGATGCCCATTCCAAGGTCGGTAATCAAGACATGGGAGTGTATCAGTGGCTGCTCTGCTCTAAAGGGCATGGGCAACTGCACCTAGAGACCACAGATATTCAGTAGGGGAAACAGAAGGTTTTGAAATATAGAGTCTTGGAATTCATAGGTAATAAATACATTTTGCACCATCCAGAACCAGTACAAATCTAAATAAAGCTATCTTTTTTTAAAATAATTTTTTATTAAATAGAGTAGCAAATAAAATGCCACTGCCTTTAGACTGTAGAAAAAAAAATGTGTGGTTCTATGAGGTGTCTGCTAAGTAGAGAAGAAAATGCTCCTTGTAGCGGAGATAACATAATTCATGAGTAATATCAGCATTATAGGGATAAATAATAAAAAATAAATATTTTCACACCTATGTGATATTTATAAATGAGGACTAAGACTGGGTTTACACCTTTGTGGTGTGGTAACGGCCACAATAAAGGAACACACAGTATAGCACCATGCACACGTTCCTGGGTTGTGATGCTGCCCATTAACCTAATGTGGCTGTAATGTATTACTGCGGTTGTGCCCCGTGTTGCTGAAAAAAGATCAAGTTCAGTTTTTTGGTGTGCTGGGGTAGTTTGGCAGCACAATAAACCCAACACGAGTTAGTGTGCATGTGTTAATGCAGCACACAGGTGTGAAGTTACTGATTTAACCTGGCCACATTCCTAAAAAAGTGAAATATAGGCTTTGAGTATAGTGTTCAGTATCCCTTTTAAAAGTGCTACACCTAGAGGAACTTCGAGCAACTCATGAGTCCTCTGATAAATATTTTCACCCTGAATACCAAGATTTAATAATAAAAAGTGCACATAAGTAAAAGTGAGGTGTGCAATAATATTCTAGAACTCGAAGTCTGTAGTACCATATATTTACAGTACAAAACCATCTATTATATCTATATGCACATAATTTAGTGTAAAGAAACAGGGAAAACAACAAAACAATAATAGTAAGGTCCAGATAAAACATACTTGGTCTTCTCACCTGTACCATAGTCCAGCAGAGATATGGTTCCCATAAACATTTCAACTACTAGCAAAGGTCCTTTAAAAATACCCTACATCATTCATACACAAATTACTAATATAACAACGGACTTCATTCAGAACTGGAAAAGGTCGATGAAGTGCTGTGGAGAGACCGGCGTAAGACAGCTACTGGGATCATTAGCCGTGCAAGGATGTCCAGAGTCCTGACAGGAAAAAGAAAACCATCAAAAAACATAAAATGTGAACAGCTGTGCCTTCCTAAAGATAAAGCCCAACAAATGTCTTTTATTTAGCCTTTCTCAACCTTTACACCCCTTGAGGAACCAGGTCTCAGAGACACTAAATATTTTAGTTCCCCTACATGGTTAGGCACTGGTGAAGCACCCCATTTCTTTGGTGGTCATTGGTGAAGGGCCTCCTTTCATTGGTGGTCAATGGTGAAGTGCCACGTTTCATTGGTGGTCCGTGGAAGAAAGAACCACCTACCTACATTGGTGGTCAGTGGAAAAAAATACCCTCCTTAAAACATAGTTACAAAAAAAAGAACTCACTGCAACCTCTGGAGAAACATTCCTAGGGTTCCATAGATCACTGGCTAAGAAAGGCTAATTTGATTATACAGAAAATTAAAAAAAAACAAAACTGATTTTTATAATTGTAAAACTTTATATGACTCTTCAGTTAACATTTCCTCTGCTTCTATTGTTTTGCAAGAAGATCCCTAACAAAAACATCTTCCTGTGCCGGTATTCTTTCCGAGCCAGTGATGAGCTTCAGTCTGCATAATCAGCAGTAACAGTGGGTACAACTAAGGGCTTTTACACTGGATGAATTCTTTATCCATGGCAGCCAATAAATTCCATTTGGGAGAGATGAAAGGGGACACATCACGCATTGCAAACATAAATTGGGGGGGGAGACCAATTAAACATAACTGTAAACATAAAGCATGCAGTTAATATGCTACAGTTTTAAAAAAAAAGTGACAGATGACAATGGGATTAAAGAATGACTTTAGGCAACAAGTAGAATAATTTAGCTGCCAGTTTAACCAAGGCTACATCTTTTCTAGCCTGCTGGGGCATCTGGGGGTATTGCTTTATGTACCCCCCTCCTAGCATACATTGGCAAGGGGCATGAAAAAAGTGGCAAAAGGATCAGTTTGGGGAAAATAGTGAAATGTAAGGATGTAAGTGGAAGGTAATAAAAACAGTGATAGGGCCACCAGACTACATGGATTGGGTAGGAAGAAGCCCGCAGCTCTTCAAAAACGAACTCCTGAGTTGGCATGAGGTTCGAGCATACCATAGGTTAGAGGCAAGCCCAGCCTGTTCAAGGTTTGCAGTCTGGTGAACTAAAGGCAGTAGTTCAACCATCAAAATTCTTTGCAAAAATAACGCACTACAAGGGCCTCTGAACGTATGTCAGCTTTCTTAGATGTGCCAATAATGATGCCTTTGTTATGTGCTACCCCCTGCTATAAATGATATCTCACATTGGAATGTCTCCTAGAAGAAGACCTAGACATCCCAGGAGACAGCAGGAAGCTGGACACATCATTCTTGCCTAAGTGAGGATTCAAAAAGTGCATTCATTAAAAAATAAAAATACTTTATGTTAAAAAAAAATAAAAAAATCTACTTGGGTAAGATGGATGGGGAGGAGACAGAAGAGAACTGCTATTTGTGGGTGAAGGCCTGCTTTAAAGTTGACTTTTGTCTCAGGGGGTTTTCCTTTATTTTGGGAATATATTGGATTGTTGAAATGGCTGTTTATTTTGTAAACTGCCCCTCCCCCCCAAAAAAAAAAAATAAAATGAAAAATAAAAAACAAAGGGAGCAGACTTTCATTTTGGGGGTGGGATTTTGCAGATTTCTTTGTTAACTTTGGGATGCTAGAAACACAGTATTCATATGTTGCAAACCATCTCCATCGTTTTTTAAAAATATAAGGAAGTGCACCTTAAACACCTCATATTAGATCTTTCAAATTCAATGCATCTCCCTAACCCCCTAGATAAAGTTAGGTTTAAAGTACAACTAAAAAGCAAAAAAACTTTCTTTATCATACATCATAGGCTATAATCATTACTACCAGAGTTATGTGTCACCTATAGGTGAATGGATGCTGGCTGACGAAAAGACAGGAGTACTTCCTTATATAATGCCTACTACACAGGAAGTAACTCAGTTTTTTCACCAGTGTCTGGAAGGTGATAGTCACTAATGTTCACTTCTCTATGAGAACGTGGTTGGGTCCTGCAAGACAGGCATACATGTGGCACGCCATGCATGCGCAGCAACGGTTTGCTTCGCAGGCGCGCATGGCGGGTGTGCACGTGGCACACCGGGTATGAGCAGTTGCGTCCGGAAGCTACGGGCAGCCATCTTACTTAGGTGGATAGTGTCTAACACGTGGTGCTCCTGTGAGGCTGCTGGAAGGAACACAGAGCAGACTATCGTTTGGACATGCGAGTCCTTGATGGGTGTATGGTCACAGGTGGCAGTCTGGACTGGCTCCTGCTTTAGTGCTACATCTGTTTGCGTTCTAGGCTGTGATAGCTGTTAAATGCTGGATAACAGTCTTGTATGGTGGGGTGCTGTACTGGTGGGTTAAGTATTTATTGTCACAAGCCCCAGTTGCATTGTTGTAAATTGGCTTTGGAATAAGCAATGTCTTCTAGAAAGCAAAGTGGGGGAACCACAGAAGGAAGGGGCACATGTGCACCATCGTCAGGTCCTGAGGAGCCTAGTCAAAAAGTTTCACTGTGGTGACTTCCCCTGAAACACCAGAGGGGACTGGGCAATCGGAGCCACTTTACTTGTCTGGCACTGTGGCTGCTACCTATGTTTGCTTCAGCATACATTACTAAGAATGATCTAGCACAGCCTTGGCTGGACTGGAGAATAATATAGCTGACATGATGTCCTCTGTTATGCAGGGAGGTAAGTGGGAAAGATCCCCCTCCCCAGATCCTCATGTTTTGGATCCGGAGTTGGTAGAGGATATGGAGGAAGTGGCTGATGAAGATCTGGAGGAAGGTCAGGCGGAAGACTCTACTTCTAGGCAGTCAGTGCTTGAGGAGGGACAAGCGTTTTCAGCCTCTCAGTCCTAGAGATTGTTAGTCCAATCTCTTACAGAAATGGTCCGCTGTGGATTCAAATTGCCTCCACTGAAGGCTTCAGAGACCTCCTACTCCTCTTTGGGTTTGATGTGGCCTCCGCAGAATGCTCAAGCCTTTTCACTGCACCCACTCTTACAGCAGGTGGTATATGCTGACTAGGGTCACCCAGATAAAGTATTTGTTCCTCCCAAAAGGTTTTCACTGCTGTTTCCCCTGAAGGAAAAATTTGTTAAGAAATGGAGAATGCCGGCGGTTGATGCAACAGTACTTCCCTGGATAAAAATTGTACTTGTCCAGTGGACAATGCCCAAGTGTTTAAGGTCCCAGCTGATAAGGCTTCTTTTGCTCTTGCTGGGTCTGCTACGTGGGGGGTGGAGGAGGTTGCAGTTTTGAAATGCCTGGGAAGAGGTGATCCAAGACAAGTGGGTAATTTCCACGATTTCTCAGGGGTGCAGACTGAACTTTCGGGTTCTTAACCCTCCCTGGTTTTTAAAGTCCAATGAACCCACAAGCCAGCTAAAAGAGAAATTCTTTATTTCAAGCACTTGATTGATTGCTGTTCCAAGGGGTAATTGCGGAAGTGCTGTCAAGGGAGAGGTTCAAGGGCTTCTACTCGAACCTGTATACGGTTCTTCTTAAACCAAATGGAGACATGAGGCCTATACTAGATGTCAAGGCTCTGAACTGATTTCTATTTGTTCATTCATTTTGGATGAATGCAATCCATTTGCACACCCCCCCTCCTGAAGATAGGGAATTGTTCTAGCATCCATAGACACCAATGACTCACACCTTCATGTACGAATATTCCAACCTCATTAAAAAAGGTTTCTGCGGTTTGCAGTGGAAGGTCATCATTTTCAGTCTGTGGTTTTGCCCTTTGGCCTTGCCACGGCCAATCAAGTTTTCACAAAGGTTCTGGCTCCAGTATTGGATACTAGGGTATTTGGATGACCAATTACTCAGGGCGCAGTCTGTTCCGAGCTTAAGGCGAACTGTGGCTCCTGCAGTTCACGTTATAGAACAACTAGGCTGGATCTTAAACTTCAAGTATCGCTGGTTCAAAGCCTGCAATATTTGGGGTTGGTCCTAGATACATTGCAGACAAAAGTGTTCCTGCTTCCAGGAAAGATCTGTGCTCTGAGAGATCAGGTGCACGATGTGAGGAGAAAAAAGGTATCCATCTATACATCTCTGCATGAGGTTGTTGAGGATGATGGTATCTGAATTCGAGGCAGTGCCCTATACACAGTTCCACACCAGACCATTGCAGAGAAACATTCTGTCTGTCTGGAACAAAAAGGTCCAAGTATTGGATTGTCACATATCTCTGTTCCCCAGGGTAAGGCAGAGTCTGAATTAGTGGTTGGTGGCTCGGAATCTGGAAATTTTTTTCCGGTGGTTTGGAAAATAGTAACCACAGATGACAGTCTTTTTTTTTATTAAAAAAAAGGTGTTTATTTGTAAACTTTTTTTTTTTTTTTCTTTTAACTTATAGTAACAAAACAGAAGCCATCTAACACAAGCGATGGCAAAAGGTCGGCTGTGCAGAGCCCAATAAACAAATACAAGACATGGAAACTGATGCCATAATTACGGGCCAGCCATGACCGTAAGATAATAAATGCAGGAATATCACACATGTTAACCAGTACTGCAGCCAACCACAAGAGGAAAAACAACACATTTCCAACCAACAGTCACACATAGTCATATACGTACACAACCGTACCCATGCGCTGTCCAGGCACAGAAAACAGCAAGTAGACAAACAATTCAGACAAGTTCAACAAGGTGGACAAGTTCGTGTCCAGAACAAGGGACCCGCTCACGTTCAGGGTGGATGCTCTGGTGACTTCTTGGGATCAGTTCTCCCTAATGTATGCTTGCTCCCTCCAGATTCATCTTCTGCTGCACCTCAGTGAAGGCCTTGCCCAGGAGGGCTTGGTACACAGATATAGTAAAGATAGCTGTAGACAGTCCATGATCTCTTCCAGTCCAGCCAGACTTATTGTCTCAGGGCCCAACATGGCACCCTGCTTCACATTTGCTAAATTTGACTGTGTGGCTATTGAAGCCAGGATCTTGAGAGACCGAGGGGTATCAGGTCCAGTTATTTCTACAATGTTGAATGCTAGGAAGGCAGATTCCAGGAAAATCTATTACAGAGTCTGTAAGTCTTACATTTCCTGGTGTGAGTCCAAAAGGTCGACATCCCAGGAAATATGTGACTAGGAGGATTCTTTCTTTTCTCCAGTCAGGTTTGGAAATGAGGTTGGCCTTGGGCACCATTAAGGGTCAGATTTTTAGCTTTGTCCTTATTTTTTTCAAAGGCCTATTGCTTCGCACTCCTTGGTTCGGGCTTTTCTGCAGGGGGTGATTCGTACAGTCTCTCCTATCAGGCTACCCTTGTGCCCCTGGGAATTAAATTTAGTGTTGGCTATCTTGTGGAAGCAGCCATTTGAACCTATTGGTGATATTCCACTAGTCCTTTTGGCTCGAAAGGCGTTTTTTTTTTTATTGCAATCAGTTTGGCAAGACAGTTGTTGGAGCTGGTGGCTCTTTCTTGCAAGGAGCCATTTTTAATCTTACACCATGATAAGGTGGTATTGCGCCCTCCTCCAGCCTTCTTGTCTAAAGTGGTTTCTAGCTTTCACTTGAATCAGAACTTCAAGCCTCTCTTTTTCCGAATCCTTATTCGCCAGGAGAGAAATTGCCACATTCTTTGGATGTAGTGCAAGCCATTAGAGTATCCTAAAAGGTCGGCACTAATCAGAAGGTCCAATTCCTTATTTGTGCTACCAGAAGGGCCCAGGAAAGGGCAAGCAGCATCTAAGGCAACTATTTCTCATTGGATCAGCCAGTTAATCATTGAAGCCTATAGTTTGAAGGGCAAGGTCCCATCCTGTCGGGTAAGGGCGCACTCTACCAGAATTGTTTGAGCCTCTTGGGAAATTCGCCATCAGGAGTCAGTGACTAAGGTTGGCAAGGCCCCCACCTGGTCTTCAGTGCATACATACACAAGGTTCTACCAAGTGGGATGTTAGAGCTACAGAGGATGCTGCTTTTGGCAGCAGTGTGTTACAGGTGGCGGAGTAGGTCTTTGGGGTGATAAGAGTGTCTCCCTCTCCTCAAATGTATTGCTTTGGGACATCCCAGATAGCAATGATTATAGCCTGCTCTGTGTTCCGTGATATACAATAAAGAAAATTGGATATTTTCTACATACTTACCTGTAAAATCCACCTCTTGGAGTACATCACGGGCCATGAGATCCCTCCCCTCTTTGTGGAATTTCTTCGCTTGCTACAAAACTGGGGTACTTCCTGTGTAGCAGGAATTACATAGGGGAGGACTTCCTGTCTGTTTCAGTATCCATTCACCTATAGGTGGCGCATAACCCAGATAGTAATGATTATAGCCTGCTCTGTGTCCCGTGATGTACTCCCAAGAAATGGATTTTACAGGCAAGTATGTAGAAAAAAATCCAATTTTTTCAGTTTTGGATAGAGTGCAGTCTGTGCCCCCATTAGGAGGATTCCCCCTCTCTACTTATCCCATTTACAATTATCACTGAAAGTAATAGTAAAAGATAATTGTTCCCAGAAAAGTACGAGGGAAAATCTTCCAATGGGGACAGTCCTGGTGACCTGGGGGGGCCCCAAGGGATTCCTTTAATTTGCAGGGATTTTCTCTCACTTCCTGTTTGGCTATGGGACAGGAACTGAAGGGAAATTTCCCCAACTGGACACAGATGGCAAATAATAAACTGGCAGGTATCATAACCCTCCCTTACTTTTTCCAAAATGAAAAAAAAAAAAAAGAAGTTTTGCCTACCGTTCTACTTTAGGCTACTTCTAGAGTTAGGCTAATTATCCAACATTAAAACTTCTACTGGTCAATTTTAAACTGCTATATGACCTGTAGTCTCTTAATTCTTGTAGTAAAATATTTGTCCCCAGTAAATTTGAGTCTAAAATTAATATTTAAAACTGTTTTGCTGCTGACCAATTTTAAACTGCTGTGCCATCTGTGATCTCCTAATTGTTGCAGTAAACACCTGTACACTTTCTTTAGTAAATTTGGCCATTTCAGCTTTAAGGCATTCCACAAGCATGTGATTAAAGAATGTGTGTGTTTTTAATGTTGTTCTTTTGCAACATAAAAAGACTCACTCTTGACTATAAAGCAAACTGACAAACCAAGGGACAGGATTCGACTCCCATAGACCTAATGGGGTTAGGTACCAATTTCAGTGTTTGGAGGAGTTTAAGCAAGATTCAACTAACCCTATGTGAACTGAACTCAGACAAAATGATAGAAATGCATGAAAATGAGGCTCCATCATGTAAACAAGATACAAACATGCATTTGGAAGCTTATTAATGTCTTTAATTACAGGCAAAGCTAGCAAACCAATAGGCTTCATAACAGAAACAAAAATATGTAATTAAAGTGAATGTAAAGCCAAAACTTTTGTATAGGATGTGAAAGGTGATGGAGTCACCTTAAGTATGGGTGACAGAACTGGAGGAAACATTCCAAATGTTTAAGTTGTCACCATAAATAGGATAAGAGGAGAAATCTCCCAATGTGAAAACTTTTTCCAATGACAACTATGTAAGTAGGGACATTGTCTTGCTCTGGAGATTTCCTCTTACTTCCAGCAGTGTCTCTGGTACAGAAAGTGAAAGAGCTCTATGGCTCCGTCCACACCAATGCAGGTGTGACAGCAAGCACCCATTTTTCTGTGTGATGTCACATGTTGCTTTTAGGGTAGGACAACCCATTCATTTCAATCGGCTGACCTTTGAGCGAAAGATCACAAAAAAAAAAAAAAAAAAGTGCATGACCCTTTTTCTAAAATTGCGTTGCACAAAAATACTAAGTTACCATGCACTTTGGCACATTACCAAGGTGCACTGGGGCGTCATTAAGAATGAATAACACTGCCGTACACCTGCAAATAGGATGCACATTTTTCCTGCTTTGTGGGAATGTGCGTGATTTTCTGTGAACTTAGCCTGATGGGGTATTTACACTGTAAATCTGCTAATACATCTAACACTCCCCTCCCGTTCAAACTGGCAATACTGCTGTCCAAAAGATGCCCCTGTGCTCCTTCATCCAGAGTGGGGGCACTCCACTCTAATACAGGAGGTGTGTTACTGGCCAGATCACCAAATGAAAACAAAGGGAAAAAAATCCTAAAAAAAGAGAAAACTTCTGCAGACACCGCTAATGAATGGTAAGCTGCAATATATTACATTTATACATTACATACTATTAAATTTTTGGTTTGGGGTTTAATGCCTCTGAAACCATTGCGTAACCAAAAAAAAAAAAGTTTTGGCCTTACTTCCACTTTGAACTGGAGAATAAAATGGGCTGTAGTCCACAGTATTCAGAAAACACTGAGAAAGCAATGTGACTTTCCTGGATGAGCATTTTTGCTCTGAAATCTTGCTTACATCATTCTTTCCCCTTTATGCTTGAAAATCAGGTTAGAAAATGAAAAGGAGAAGCATGCTGGTTGCTAGGAGCCCCTCTGACAGTTATCAGTTTAGAAACTTTCACTCATAAGGATTTAAACATATATGAAACATACATCCCATGGAATATCCTGATAGAAACATGCACCAAATACCTTAAATATAAGCGCTAGCTGACAGTCCTTTACAAATAAAGAAGACAAGCAGAGAAGGAACGATGAGAACCTTCATATTATAATTTTAAATTATAAGGCTGTAATAGATTACCATTTAAGATCAGAGGGTGGCTAAGTAATAAGCAATAGTACCTTGCAGTACTGGGCTCCTGGTTTCAAGACCCAGCGGATGACATGATCTGCATGGAATTTGTATGTTCTCCTCTTCAGTAGTCAAGTCGATGGATAGTTGATTTGATAAACTTTTAGGTGGTCTACAATAATACTACTCTACCCTACAAAACTAAGCCTTGTACATGACTGACACATTTTACAGGCACCTATTTGCTTTTCTGGTCACTAAGCAGAGCAGAGCACATCAGGAAAAACACAAATATACAATGTGTGTGTGTGATATATATATATATATATATATATAAAAAAAAAATAAAATATATTTATTAATACATGACGGAGAGGTCAGTTGTTGCAAAGAGAAGGAAAACAACAGGAGTAACAGCCTATCCTCCTTCAGCCCTGTGATCTCCCTACTAGTTGCTGAATACAGTGAGAGTTACAGCCATACATTCAGCAGGTGTATAAAGCAAAACACTAATTAATTTAGTTATCCTATCAGTTTTATGTTTCTTCAGAATTTCTTTCCTGTTGCCAGTATTACGTGTATGAAGTATAATAAAACAACTATTTAGGCACCCAACAATATGATCATAGCTCCCACTGTCCCTTGTTTGGGATCAAATCCACTGCCCTTTGGCCTTTCAATTGTCCATCTTGGTCTGATGAATAGCGCTCTATAATTAGATATATTTTCTAAATGTTATGGATGAGCTATTAAAAAATCAAAAATCTATTTTTTCTATTTATTGTGAAGCATTGGCTGGCAGGATTGTGGACTGTGTGTATTTGTCACCTAGGTTTCTCACATACACATGGTGAGAGGCTCCATCCACATGGCTGATGTGAAGAAAACCAGACTTTTGTTTTCTCAGATTTTAATTTCTATTTAGGGTCCTGGAGCCCAAAAGCTTTGTATAGTTTTAGGGCCATACACTGCTCAAATTTTGTCAGGTTGTTAAGGAGCCATTACAAATTCGATCAGTGGGTAGCCCTTTCAACTTTCCCAAGGAAAAAAATTGAAGGAACCAGGGGCAAAATTGTAGTTGGTGATGTTCGGGTATTTTGACAGCTAGGACTGGCTGTCAAAATGCAATACCTGCAGCGTGATATTCATCCTGTGCAGTGCGAGCTGTGTAGATTTTTTTCTATTCCATCTGCAAAAATCTGTATGTGTGACCAGCTTTATTCTAAGCTCTGAAGAGTCACTATGAGATCAAAAGTTTGTGGACACTTGATAATCTCACATACTATATGGTAAAAATGACTGTATGTGACACCCCTCCTAATTACGGAGTGCAGGTGTTTCCAGTGAAAGTTCTTGTTAATGTTACAGCATACAAAGGAATAATAACGGTGTGCTTCCAACCTTGGGATGACAGTTTTAGGACCTGACCGTGCCCAAAAGTCAGGTCCAAAATTATATGGTTTGATGAGCTTGGTGTGGAGGAACCTGAGTTGCCTTCACAGAGCCTTGATCTCAACCCTATTGAAAATCTTTGGGATATAGTCAAATGCCTATTGCGTGCCAGACCTTCTCGTTCAATCTCAGAACTAGACCTCACAAATGCTCTTTTTACTAAATAGGTCAAACTCCCACAGACACACTTTCCAGTAGAACCTGCTATAGCCCCAAAATGTTGTTCAGTTGTGTATCAATGCTCAAGGTTTTGGAATGGCATATTTAACAAATTTGTATTATGTAAGTGTGATGGTCAGGTGTCCACAAACTTTTGATCATATAGTGTATGTGAACTGACTGATGCTCAGGTTTCTCGCTTTCTCTGTAACTGGATGAAAATGCTGACAGCTGTTTTGGGGAACCCATTAGGGTACACCATGGCAGTCAGGAACTGACCCGATTTTAGTTAGTAGCTTGGATCATGTTTTGCTTGTTTTATGCTATTGGCCTTGCTGTACAAAGCCCTCCTCCATTAAGACTGTTTCTGCTGGTCTGCTGTCTTGCTACAATAAATTGCATAAAAATAAAATGCTCCTGGGTGTCCTTATCTTGTGCATGGTTATGGCTGCTGTAAACTAAATACAATTAAAAGAACACCATCATAATTTTCCTTTAATTATGGCTGCATGATGTTCAAGCACATTATTTTACTGCCATCGGAGTTATCCATTAAATAGACTGGTGTCCTAAATCTCACTCCAAAAACACCAAACATGTAGAAACCATAAACCATTAGTTTGTACTTTATAAGGGTCATCAGAGCTTAGTCTCTGATCACATTCACCAGTATTTTTATTGTAGCAAGGTCTAGTGTCACCAGGGTGTTATTTGGGCCTGAGCTCAAGTGAGCCATATAAAGTACCAATTATTTGTGTAAGTACTGATTGTGCGTTTGTACTTTGTGAGAATCCAACCATTAAAACCCATTTGTTACAATAAAATGGCTAATAAATCTTTTACCTTCCAAAACAGAATGCTGCAGTGACGACATAAGTGTAGTGTATCTCCATATTCTTCCCTTTTTGGATAAAACTTTTGGAGTCTGAAGAACATCTGTTTCCAGTCAACAAGACCATTTTCAGTCAAGATCAAGTGCTGGTGAAACTGAAAAAAGGGAAAAAACTAAACATGTGTACCTCTATATAAAAAAAAAATGTATATGTCTAGTACAAGTAATATTGAAGAATGCAATAAAAGCAACTTGGCTAACATTTAAATGGTTGTTAACCTTAGACATGAAAAATGTACAAAGTATATTATAGTGTGTACATGTCTATTCAGAGCACTAAGTGTCATTTCTTTCTGCTGCTTCCTTTCTCCGCTATCAGCATGAATCACTTCTGATAAGTTTTCCTGACACCAAGAGATAAAGGTGACAGGGGAGTGATCTCCAGCACATATTCTGTGATTGAAAGCCTCAGCTCTGTTACTGTGTGACGTGGGTGTGTCCATTCCCTACAATCAGCTCCCAGAGCTCTCCTCGCTGAGCTCTGCAGGGGTTAACTTCAGCTCTCCATCCTGTTTTCTACCAGCTCAGACAAGCTTTATAAATTCTGAACTTTGACTATGGTTGTAGAGAAGAGAAAACTGCAGATAAACAAGTACAACTTATGAAGGAGGATTTGTTTCATCTCTGTGTATCACCTGAAGCTAGTTACTTCATGGGGTATACAGTATGTATATAATATAACTTAAGAGATTCAAAAAGTACAAATGTAAATGTTTCAAGACCTTAACCGAATTGGTGTTTTATAAGCTTTAGCCAAGGACCCTCCCACCCACAAAAGAAAAAAAAAAAAAAACAAAAAACACACAACAAAATTTAAGCACTTAAGTTTATAAACATATTTTTTCTATCTTGCTTTTTATTTGTTTTTCACCATCTCTACAATTATTGTCCTGTATTAAATATTTATTTGTAGTACTGGAGCACTAGGGCTTATACAAAACAATTTGCTTTGCAGCATTTGTCAGAAAGAAGAAACATTTAGGGCAGTTTCACACTAGCTGGTTCCACTGCAGTGCATTTAACACATTTTACCTCTGTTGAGATTTATTCCAAATCTGGATCTCTGTTCTTTGCAGCAAAAGTCACATCTTTATTCACAACGGATGGTACAACTTTCCTTGGCTGGTGCAGCTATAAGAGCTGGACGCACGCTAGTGTCATTTATTTGTCAATTTACAGTACACTTTTTATTCTTTATATTATTCACAAAAGAAAAAGGAGACTAGACAAGAGAAGAGGAGAGGCAGATAGAAATCAATAGTATTAGACACAGCTCTCATAGTCAAAGCAGGCAGGAAGCAAAGGGAAAGCTGGACTCTCCAGCATGAACAAAAGTATGATTTTTACTGTAAAGAGCAGTGATCTAGCCAGTCTACACCTCAGTAACTTTTTTTTTCTTTTACAGAACAGAAACCAGAAAAGGCTGTCTGGTTGGAATTCTGTTTTATGTGCCATGAGTTAGGGCAGCCCATTTAGTTAAATGGGCAGCCTAATGAACCACAATAGACCACAAATTGTACATGTAACATTTGCAGCAGTGCAGTGTACTGCAGGTGAGCTAGGAAGGTGCAATGGGAACCATTCTAAATCACCAAACATGCACATTATCACAGTGCAATGATTTGAATGGACCAAGGTTTTTTTTTTTTTTACTCCTCGTCCATAATAAACAAAAGAAAGACCATCAATTTAAAAAAAAAAAAAAAAAAAGGGAAGAAGAGGAGGAAGAAGAAAACAAAAAAAACACACGCTTCAGGTCATACATAGGTGATCTGTACCTCTTCATTAACTCTAAAATGTTTTGTTCCGGCATGCTTGCTCAGCATTACAATGGACAGGACAGTACATGAACTTAAAAACTCTGCTTAGACAGTGCACACGGATCCCTGCTTAAAGTTAGCTGTACTAAGCTTTATTGGCCTGAAAAGCCTACAAGGCTTACTAAGCTTGTGACACTCTATATTTGGAGAACTACAGTGTGTACTACAGTGGTTCACTGAACATGACTCATTCATTTTTATTAAGAAGTTAAATGTGAGGCTGCCAAGGGAGGATTGAAAGCCATTAACAAAAGTTTGGGCACCCAGTTCAAATTACACATAGTAACACAAATCCTGCAGAGAAAACAGGGCAGAACAAATTGTTAGGAAAATTGTAATACACAATCACCATTTAAAGCCACCTTATATTTTCAAATTTGTTAACAAAAAAAAAACAAAAAGAACTTAACTGTTACATACAAAACTTAAAGAAAATCTGTCTATTTCCTTGCTCAGGTCTATTAATAGCCCAACCTATTTATACTCACCATCCCCATATACTCCTTTGTGTCATTACTTTGCAGTCCTAACCCTGCATCAGCTCCTTGTCCTGGATGATGATGTCATCCCCTCTATCATGAGACAGTGTTCCAGCCTGGTGACTGGCTGCTTAGTCTTGAGCACTATAACGGGAAGAGATCACATGTTCCCCTATCCCCAGAAGCACCAGATATTTTTTGGGCAGCTCAGATGGACCAAAAAAAACAAAAATCAATGAGGGAGTGCAGCAAATGGAGTAGAACTGGGTCAGGGATTTACCTTTAAAAAAGAGATCCAGCCACCTACCCACTTCTTTCCCAATTAACAGTCAGGAAGCTGACACATTTATTTCTTAGTTGAGCAATGCAGCTTCCCATGTCACCTTTCCTCCAATCTACTCATTGGACTATAAGGCTTTGTTCATGCTATATGCAAAGATGTCAATTTTTCTGCATGCGTTGTGCAAGGGCACGAAGAAAACAATTGTTCTCTATGTGCTTTGTTCACACCACAACACTTCAAATTTTTTCTGTGCAGGAATTTGCAACGTGTATAAAATTCACTGAAACATGCATGAAAACTGATGTAAACATGTGCCTTTGCAAGTGAAATCTACGCATTTTTCCCATCAGTTTTTCTGGATGTATGGTATGTACAAGACCTAAAGGCCTTACATCAGTTCTCATGTGCGTTTTGTGGTGTGAACAGGACACATAGAGAACAACTGTTTTCCCTGTGCCCTTGCAGAATGGAGACTGCACTGCGCAACTCTTTCCTGTGAAGACCGGACATTTAGGAAAGCAAAGTAAAACTGCAAGTGCTGGAGTAAGAATTTAACAAAATAGTTTACTTTGGAATGTTTATTTAACTGTACCCAGTGCATTAAGCAAAAATACTGAGGGTTCAATACCCTCAGGGAAACAGTTGTTCTCAAAATAGTACACTCCGGCACCATCTTAATCTGCTACATCAACAAGCACAGCTAGTAACTGAAACAAAATATTAGAATTTGTCAAATCTTCTATATTGGTCCTCAGAGATCCTCTGTGGATATAATTTGTGCCCTATAAATAATAATAATAATAATAATAATAATAATAATAAAAACAACAACTTTATCACATAACTGCACCACCATTATCAGCATTGTGCATTCAAGTTCTGTTTTGTATAGCCAGCTGCTGGGGTAACTGAAAGATAAAACACAAGCAGTGCAAACTGAGATAATGGCAACTGTGCTGATAATGGTGTAAGAAAGTGGCAATTTAAAAAGAACTCAAAATATAAAAACTATAGGAATAAACATCCCCCCCCCCCCAAAAAAAAAATATTAAAAAGGAAAGAATATGGGAAACCATAAGAAGGAGGGAGTAAAGACATCTTAACACAATGCTGGGCAAATCCTAGGAGCCAATGGACCTGAAAGTAAAAAAAACAAAAACCTATTCCTTGAGCTACTTTTCACGTCTTCCAGATTTTTACATTTCTTAAGGAAATATACAACCTTTATTTATTTAATACATTGTTAAAATAAAATTCCCTTATTTTTTTAAAATTATTATATATTTTTTTAAGCAGACAGTACCACACTGCAGCAGCTGTATCTTGTCCCCCTTTTCAGCCATCAGTGGTGCAATTTTATAGAAAACCTTGAGCAACTGTGCATGGTAACCAATCAGCTTATATCTTTCATTTTCCAAGCTTATCTGAAGATGGAATCTGATTGGATGCTATGCACAGCAGCTCCAGATTCTGTCTCCCAACAATTTTGATAAAATTCCCTTCAATGTATCTCAATTTGTGACAGGCATAGTGATAGCTGACTACACAAAAATGGCAACTGTGCCAACCTTTAACCTGCTTTACCAGTAAGGTGCACATGGAAGGGCAATGCACATCACAAAACAAAGGATTTCCCAGCAACACTTACCAGCCAGCATGTGAGACAACCAATTAGGCCCTGTCTTACAGTTTGCATTATAAACAGAGGTTTTGTTCACACAAATTTGTGACAGCTGAGCCAGCATGATTGTTTTGTAAACAAATCCATGTAAAACACCATGATCAGAGTTAGTGGTTGTTTCCCACAGCACACAGTCTTAGCACCATGCTGAAGAATGCTGATCGATAGACTGCAGGCTGAAAGTGGATTAAAAGCAAAAGCTAGAACAGTACAGGATACAATTTGTATTGTTTAGTAAATTATTTACCATTTTCTCAGTAAAGTGATACTTGCACAGTGTTTTCCAGAGATGACTGTCTTCACTTAGAACATGCAAAGTTTTATTCAGCTGGCCAAGGTTGATGATGTCCCAGGCATCTGAAAACCTGTGGAAAATGTTGTTTTGCATGTGCAATGGCATATCACAGAAGTTAAGGCCGTTGCCAAGTTGCTGGAGAACGAAGCAAAACAGGAAGTCATTAGAAATATCTATAATAGATTCCTCCATCATAAAGAGAAATACCAACAAAGTGGCCATACCGGATTGATCTGCAGACTCATCAGTTGCTCCTGCCAAGAAAGGATAGCCTCTAAGCGACAAATCCAGATATTGACATTTCCTACCAATATAAATCTCTCCAGTAGCATGCAGAGTGTGGCACTTAGGTCATGAAGAAGAAGCTCTCGTATTAAACGTGGATTGTACTGATCTTTTACCACTGAAAGAAATGTAGAAAGATTGCAAAACTTGGCCATAGCTGACAGATATACATATTTTATGAAGTATTAAAAGCATAAACAAACAAGATGCTTTTTTCCATATTGGGTGGAGTTGGCAGGGTTCCATTTTCCACAAGGTCTATTGTCTATATAGGCTACTGCCCCAGAAGCAACACAAACTCTAATTTTTAGAGCTGAAGTTTAACCTGTTTATATTTTGCCTTTTATGGTCCCCCCACCTGCTACTTTATTAATATGCCAAATACATTTTTAAATAATACCTTTCCATTTTCATTACACACCTTATATTAGACCATCATAGTTGGGGGAGTTTTACTAAAACTGGTGCACTCAGAATTAGAAGTGCACCAAAATTTCGGTGGTCGAAATGTTTCAGCTAAAAACACCCCTATCAGCCGTTGGCCGATATGAAAATAAGCACTGATATAGGTGCCAAAAAATAACCCCGCCCCCTCGCTACCATCTGCCCGCCGCTGCTGCCAACCGCTCAGTGATTCTCAGCCTTAACTGAGAAACTACCGAACAATCCCGGCATTGGGCATAGAGATGAGTGGAAAGATGGCCTCCACTCATCTCTATGCCCTTGGAGGACAGGAGCGATGTCACTTCCGGTTTCAAGGCCTTGTAAAGAAGACCTTTGTTTGTTTTTTTTTTAAAAGCACTACATTCAATACTTTTTTTGATCTGCTTTTGCATTGTAGAGGAGAGATGTGGGGTCTTATTGACCCCATATCTCTCCATAAAGAGAACCTGTTACTGCTTATTTCTATCAAAAGGGATGCTTGCATTCCTTGTAATAGGAATAAAAGTGATAAAATTTTTTCACGTAGTGGTGTAATTGCATATGTAGGCCACGCCCACATATGTAAACGGTGTTCAAAACCACACACGTGAGGTATCGCCACGAACGTCAGAGCAAGAGCAATAATTCTTGCACTACACCTCCCTCTGCAACTTTACACTGTAACCTGTCAAAATTTTTAAAGAGTCACTATGGAGATTTTTAAGTACCGTAGTTTGACGCCATTCAACGAGCGTGCGAAATTTTAAAGCATGACCTGTTGGGTATCTATTTACTCGCCGTAACATCATCTTTCATATTTTACAAAGAAATTTGGGTATAGATTGTGGTTTTTTATTAATCATTAAAGTGTATTTTTTTCCAAAAAAAATATATTAACTTTTAAAAACCGTCCATTTTGGTTTCGGTTTTCGGACAAGTGTATCCTTAATTTTTGGTTTCGGCACCAGAATTTTCATTTCGGTGCACCACTACTCAGAATCTGGTGCAGCTGTGCATGGTAACCAATCAGCTTCTAACTTCAGTTTGTTCAACTAAGCTTTGACAATAAAACCGGGACGTAGATTGGCTTGCACCAGAATTTGCACTCAACAACTTACTGTGCTGAGCGCGCTCTCCCTGCAAGGTAGCCAGCAGTGATTTACTTACAATCAGGAGCTTTCCAATCATGTGTGCTGTGACAGTCAATAAATGTGACAGCCAATCACAGCTGTCACATGACCCAAATGCCTGCCTCCCAGCTTTTAGAAATCTTAAAAGGGCCGAGAGGTGGCCGGCGGGAAGGGATTAAGCAAACTTCCCTGGGTAACACCCACAATGTGATGCTATGCCTACATGTTTGAAAGAGCTGAAATCCAATGAATAAAAGGGGTGGGCCAGGGACAGAAAGGTCAGACTGTAAAGCACTAGATGATGATGGATGTCATCCAGCCTGGAAATGGGACAGGCTCTTGTCACGATCGCGGCGTCAGACCCCAGACCTTAGACCTTCTCACCAAACTCGTGACTGAAGGACTGGCCGATCTAAAACCGTGATGTGACGTGCGTAACAATGCCACACCCAGCACAACGATTTTCCAGCTAATGGTACCGATCGAAGTGCCAGCAGCCTGAATCGATTGTTACTGGGTCAGGTTAATTACGCAATTAACCCCTTCACACTGCCACCACCTCCTTCTTGTTCAGAGAAAGAGGAAACTCGCAATATCGCTATAACACTATAATAATTGAAATAATCATCCGCATAACCCGGTCATTGACACAGGCCGGTTATACAGAGAGTTAAACCAACAGTAGCGTCTCTTTAAAGGCAGGGATTCGTAAATTGCAATTAAGAGCTGTAGAAACAGTTCAACACTTTCAGAAGAAAGATTTATTACTAAAAGGGTCAAACAGGTGCAGTAAAAATATTTACAGAGAAGATGTAACTAAGATATATATATATATATATATATATATATATATATATAAATAAAAAGCACAGCACAGCAAAGAGATAACAGGGAGAAGTTAAAGGGATTAAGTTACTTGCCATTAAACCTTGGATGGAAGCAGATCATGTTTCAGAGCGAAAGGTCCCCCCAGGTGGTATACTGATGGTAAGAATGTAAATGTCTTCAAACTTAACTTTCTTAGGCTTGACAGCCTACTTTAAAGTTTCCCAGCAGGGGGTGGTTCTGAAGTAACAGACCAATCCCTGTTTAGGGAGGGATGTCAGGCGGAACCCTAAACTGGAACCAACATCTTTCATAATTCATATTCCGGTCATAACTTTTCATCTGCACAAGCGACAGTCAACCCGCGGGTATATTATTATGCAGACAAGTCTGAGGATTATTTAGATATGAATTATGAAATTATATATTGCACGGTTCACGAGTTCTATGTTTCGGCTTCCCTGATGGTCCGAGATAAGCGAGTGACCCATCAAACTGTTCGCCTGCTCATTGACCATCTGACGAGGTGTCTGGTTTTTATGTAAGTCTTCATATTCCAAGATATGAGACATAGAGGAAGAATTGATTTGAGAGGTGTTCATCTAATTCTGTCACCTACGCTGAGCTAGGTTTATTAGCTCAGAGTCCCTTTCAACTCCTGGGAAGGCTGTTTATCTTGTTACGAGGTGTGAAATTACACAGGTACTTTGGCCAGTGAGACTCCAGCTCTCTTGGGAAAACTGGTCCTATCTCTTCCTAGGTGAGAAAGGATACAGCTTTCACAGACAGCTCGGCACCTAGTTAGAAATGCCTTGCCGGCCAGGTGATCCATAAACAGTACACACACACTGGCCAGATGTCTCCTCTCAGTGAGAGGGAGGGGTGGGGGAAGGATAAGGGAGAAATATATGTGTCAGGACAGTTAACCACTTTGCCAAGATGGAGGTTGAAACCAAAATGGTTGAACCGCGTCCATCTTGGGTATACGCTGTTACAGCTCTATCTGACTTTCTTCAGCTCATGTAATCGTGCCTACGTTGCACTTCATGAGCATTCCAGCCCTCGCCTTCAAATCCCCTCCAGCTTGCCAGCCGGCTTCCTGCAACCAATGCAAGAAGGACTGTATGGAAACATGGCATTCTGATTATCCCACAACCATGGCTGTCTTCCCCTTTGATGGATACAGATCTGCCTTTAGGATCTATTTTTGCCAATCTTACAATAAATCTGTTTTAAATGTCTAACTTAGAGGCACCTCTCTTTCACCCTTCTCTCTTTATTTCCAGAGTGCCTTGGGAAATCTAAACCATGGCGCAAACATGGTTTCTCCAATCCAGTTCCTCAAACCTCCTATTGGTGATCAAAGGAGATGGATGGCCTCATCTGTCATCTAGCATGGTACAAGGACGGTGCGCCAACGTGCAAGTGTTCATCCAAATTTCCACAATGAAGAGCCCTAAAAATTATAAGTGAATTCAGCATAGGTGATAGTCGAACAGCTTTTAAGAAGCCACGGATTTAAACAGTTTGTTAATTATGTTAACATTTACTTTAACTGAAAATTCTGCAACACCAGTGCTCCTATGTATCCACAGTGATAATATTGTGCATATTACCTTTTTTGACAATTTTTTCCAAAACATTGAAATAATTCTTCTGTGCTGCACCACTTAGTGATGTAAGCTGAGACTTTGCTATCAGCTGGAGGAGCTGTGGATGGAGAGAAGGATATTAAGAGACTAAGACAAAATCATTTTATCCATTTGTAGAGACACTTTCAGTAGAACATGCCCATCCCCTGGGCTTGGAGACCTAACACACCTAATTCTATACAGTGTAACTTCACATACACTAGCTCTGACAGATAATAATGCTTCTAAGAAAATGCACAGAAAAACTATTTCAGTCACCAATTTTACAATTATGATAAATAAGAAACTGCCTATATTTTGTCCCTCAAAGATTTTCAGATCACTTCATAGAATCACAGCTGAAATAAATGTGCATCTTAAATTCAGATTAAAACAAGTGTGCCTGGCCAGGACTTGGTCTAGAGCTCTTTCTTTCAGCTCCCATAAGTCAGCACCCCTGAAACCCTCCACTCTCTCAGTACCTACATAGTGGTTCCGTAATGTACTTTCAGGTGCAACACATGCAGGCTACATAAGCAGTATTGCCATCAGGTGCTTGTCTACAAATAGCATTCACTGTCCTGGAGTCTTTCCAGGAAACGTTCCAAGGATACTTGATCAGTAGAAGAACATGCTAGAGTGAGGATATGCGTTTCCCAGTTAAAGAACTGCAACACATTAGAGGCCCTGTCAGGTTTATACCACTTGAGGTTTTTATTTTTTGAACAGATCACCCCTTTGACGTTATATGCCGTTTCCAAGCAATGCATATAACCACATTTCTGGAGGTTTGGAAATGGGGGCTGATCTGTTTTTTTGCTACTTATGTTTGATGAAGTGCAAAAGACATGCACACTTCACGATGATTACAGCTTCTGAACGCAGGTCAATCTCTCATCCCATACCATTCTCCACCATGATGGGGGTTTGACAGCCCCCGGACATTAACCATGCAAGCATATATATAGTGTACACTGTGTACGTTAATGTCAAATTCAGAAGAGCAGGGTGTGTAGGACACTGTGGAAGCTGCGAACAGTCTTGCGTGACACTGGGTGTTCTGCAGACTGGATCTGCAGCAGCTCCATACCAATTATGTATAGTTTACAGGGCTACAGCAGATAGTGGTACAATTCAGGAGGGCTGGATTGATTCAATAACATCCAGACACAGAATAGGCATGCACAGAGACAAGTGAAGCTGGAGTTGGGCTCTAAAACCCTGCGCACTGCTTGGAACTCCCCTTCCAAGCCTTCCTGGAAGTGTAACACATGCTATCCACCCCTCTGTAAGATTCACTTTAAATAGTGAAGAACAAAAAGTAAAAGCAGTTAACATATCTTAAAACAGTGTAAAAGAAGGATTCAATTAATGTTTATATATGACAATTCATCAGCATGTTCATTGATAAAATATAGAGCAATAAAACACTTACTCTGACAACGTAATTACATTTTCGGATATCCTGAATTGCACTTGAAAAGTCTAAACGATTAAATGCTTCACCCAAGGTGCAATAGCCATGTCTCTGTTACAGAAACAGGTAAATAAGTCAGACTTTATATATGTTATAACAATATGCAACAAAATACAATCCCATGGTCAACTAAGGCAAACAACAGTGTATTTGTATACTACTCTCTAAAAACAACCTATTTAATGGATTGAGACAATAAAAAATATTTTTTTATTTTTTTGGTTTTTTTTTAAAGAGTGCTTTTTTGTGATTCTATTTTTTTTTTTTAATTCAGTGTCCTCCAATATGGTCACAGACAAGTTCATTGGTCTAATGTCCAATAAAATATGCCTTTGGAATAGTATTGCAGACACAATCACTGCTTTAATGAACCACGGTTTGTGTAATCACATCGATTTTCATATCCATTTCACTACTCCACTGTAAATGAGCTTCTATATCAGGAGTAGACAACTTCAGCATACCAGTTGTGGTGAAACTACAAATCCAATGAGCCATTGCAAGACTGACAGCCACAGACATGAATCCCGGAGTCACAGGCGTGATAGAATTTGTAGTTTCAACACAGCTGGAATGCCGAGGTTGCTTACTCCTGGTATAAATAGTTGATGTTCCTGTTTAGAGCTTACCATCTGCCAGTAAAAAGTGGTAAACATAAAAGTTATGTCATATTTAAAGTTACTTGATAAAATGAAAAGTACTGAAGAAGAGGATAAAAAAAAAATAAAATAATACGTTCCCTTCAAATGTATATATTGTACTGGTGAAAGCATTCAACCATAGCTGACAACTTCGACTGATTTATCGGCACTTTAGAATCTAAAAAAGGTTTTCATCTAATATAAACACTGTATATTGGCTTGGCTAACAGAATTAAAAGCAATACAGCAGCTCTGTATTTCCAGTCTATTGACACAGCTTTAGAATAATGGCTTGTAAAATGTTAAGCTTAATTTTGAAAAACATGCTTTGTTCATACTGGCTTTGGATGCAACGGTGCCTTTAGCATATGCATGGCTTTTACTCTTCAGACATACAGACAGAAGCTCAAATAACTGAGTAATGGTCAACTGGTAAAGGGGGCTCAGCAGCACCTTAGTTTAGGTACCCCAGAGGTGAGCAAACATCTCAGTTAAACTTTAACTGCATCGTGGGCACCCAAAAACCCAGGGACGGCTCATATGCCAATACCAACTTCCATTATGAGGTTACACCTTGGCTTACTCCCACCTATAACATCAATGGGACAACGCTGAGAAAGAAAAAGGTGAGGTGCAAAGCACCAAATTCCTAGTAGGACATTGGTATATGCATTGAGGATTCATAGGCTTTTGATTTCCTGGGGCTTTCTGCAACTGACCTCTTAATGCCTGCACTAAAATGTACATACAGGAGGATAGTACACAGTCACTCTAAACAACACGCTGTAACATTAGACACTGCTCCCAAGTCTCACACTACATGATGTTGCCACTTGTAAAACACCCTAAAGTACAAACCAGTCATGTGATGCAACTCCTTGGTTGTTGAGGGGGGGTAACATTGACACATGGCCACAAGAGTGCTGGACCTTTTAGCAACTCCTAAACAAGATGCATGGGATAGCTGGAAGATGAAGCTCTTCTCCAAGCTTCCTGCTGCCTCATTCAGCAAGCCACAAGTTGGTATTTACCAAAAGACTATCAAAGCATATAATTGGGGGGGGGTTAACTTAGGGATGCATAAGAGGTTCTGTAGGACCTAAAACACATCCCCTCAGCATCCTCCTGCAGTTAGGATAATGGGAAGGACAATTTAGCCTAAGTTTTTTTCTCTGCCCCTTTTTTTCATGGTTGACTGGTTATGAAGTATACAGTAGAATTAAAGATATTGCTTAGTGGTATTTGTCTTTCAATTATGCTAACAAAAGTAGTCTATAAATGTATTTTTTTCTAAAATAAGCATCATAGTACAATGTCATGTACTCAGATTTCTTTCTAATCAATACACTGAATAATCTTGACTTATTGCACCACTTCAACACACTGAATAACAGTGACCAGTTTGTAATGTTCCAGTGGTATGGGCAGAACCGTTATAACTAATAACTGTCCAGGTTTATTGACTGCCAATAGTAGGAAGCATTCCACACATATGAAGAACACAAACATGCCTTGTGAAACCATTAAGAGACTGCATCAGCTTAAAAACAAGAACTAAAGTGTAAGCAGTGGCACCAAATAATAAAAACATCAGGTATTAAAAGTAGAACTATAGGCAAAACTTTTTTTCTCCATTTTGGATAGAGTAAGTATAACCCTTGTCAGAATTTGTTTTGCCATCTTTGTCCCATTGGGGAGATTCACTTTCAATTCCTGCCCCATAGACAAACAGGAAGTGAGAGGAAATAGATGGATTTTTGTCTTTTTTCAGCCAGACCAACTATGAAATGTATTTTATTTATTTATTACAGGTACTTATATAGAGCCATCAATTTATGCAGTGCTTTACATATATTATACATTCATCAGTCCCTAACCCTCAAGGGGCATACAATCTCAAAAGGTCCCTAACTTACATTCATACATACACATACTGAATTACTTCCAAATTAAGGGGAACCCCAGGTCACCAGAACTAGTGTCCCCATTGGAAGATTTCCCCTTTATTACTTTTCTGCAGACAACCAAAAATTTTGGATTTTCAATGATAATGGTAAATAGAACAAACAAGAGAGGATGAATTTCTTTAGCAGGGGCACATACGGCAATAAAAACAAACAAGGGTCTCTAATCCCTATGTGCACTATCCATAACTAAATTAAGTTTTGCCTTTAGTTATACTTTAAAACATGTTGTCTTCTGGTGCCAGCTGCTCACCTGATGTCTACAGAGATTTCTTTTGGCAGGTACAGAATATACTTACTTCTCGTGTACTCCCTTTCTGAACATAAATCCACTTATCGCGATAAAAATCTGATGAAAGAAAAAAAAACAATGCTAGAAACAAAAAACCACAAAACACAAAAACCTCAAAAAAAGTACAGAATTTAAACATTTACAGTATATCTCTGAAAACAAACAATGTAGGGTTTTAAAGTGATAAACACACAAATTGTTTAATTTACATTGCTCCTTCTCTTTCTGTATGTGGGATGATGACACTGTAGTTATTTTAATAGAAAAAAAAATCTAAGTACCTTTTACCTAATCAATATACAGCTGTCATATGACTCAAATCTTTTCTCAGCCTGTCTGAAGGGAAACATAAGCAGGAGGAGCATTTAGTCCTCTGCTGCTGGTCACATGTTCAAAAAAAAAAAAAAAAAAAAAAAAGAGCCTTTGGCAAGCTCCACCGAGCAGGGAACACAATGACAAATTATAATATATGTGAATTTTACAGTATCCCTTAAATCATTCAATACAATAGCATAAAGATACACTTTCCCCAAAAAGTGTAAAAAAACTGTGAATATGAATATGCTAATACCAATATTCCCAAAAGTATATATCACACAAATATATTGAAAAAAAAAAAAGTCCAAAAAAAGGATAAGAAATAAAAGTAAAATAAATATAAATATTATAAAAGCCTTTATCAGGATATCCAAACCTTTCAGAGTTTCCTGGTTCCTCCACGTGAACTTCCATGAGGTTTTGCCAGATTCTAAAATGGCCGCTGGATCACTTCCAGTTCCTATGTGCGTCTGACATCACTTCCCTTGACATGTTTCGTCACCTGACTTAATCATAAGGCCATTTTAGAATCTGGCAAATTTATTTATTTATTTCAGGTACTTATATAGCACTGTCAATTTACGCAGCGCTTTACACATATATATATATATTGAACATTCACATCAGTCCCTAACCCTCAAGAGGTGTACAATCTAAGGTCCCTAACTCACATTCATACATACACATATTAGGGCCAATTTAGTCAAGATCCAATTAACCTACCAGCATGTCTTTGGAGTGTGGGAGGAAACTGGAGCACCCAGAGGAAACCCACGCAAGCACAGGGAGAACATGAAAACTCCATGCAGGAGGCACCATGGTCGGGAATCTAACCCATAACCCATTTACTGCAAGGCAGACGTGCTAACCACTAAGCCACTGTGCCACCCAAATGTGATTTTTCTTTTTATGTTGAGGTTTCTTTGTGAGCCATTGAAAGGCTGAATATGAAGATTGATGATTGAAGTTGGCATAGAGTGACTTTTTATAATATTATATTTATTTTAATTCTTATCCTTTTTTTGGACTTTTTTTTTTTTAATATGCAGTGAGGAACAGAAGTATTTGAACACCCTGCGATTTTGCAAGTTCTCTCACTTAGAAATCATGGAGGGGTCTGAAATTCACATTGTAGGTGCATTCCCACTCTGAGAGGCAGAATTTAAAAAACAAATTCAGGAAATCACATTGTATGATTTTTAAAGAATTTATTTGTCTTGCACTGCTGAACACAGTCAAACGCCAACTACTACCATGGGCAAGACCAAAGAGCTGTCAAAAGACACCAGAGACAAAATTGTGGACCTGCACAAGGCTGGAAAGGGCTACGGGGCAATTACCAAGCAGCTTGGTGAAAATAAATCAACTGTTGGGGCAACTGTTAGAAAATGGAAGAGGCTAAAGACGACTGTCAGTCTCCCTCGGACTGGGGCTCCATGCAAGATCTCACCTCGTGGGGTATCACTGATGATAAGAAAGGTGAGGAATCAGCCAAGAACTACAAGGGAGGAGCTGGTCAATGACATGAAGAGAGCTGGGACCACAGTTTCAAAGGTCACTGTCAGTAGAACACTATGCCGTCATGGTTTCAAATCATGCATTGCACGCAAGGTTCCCCTGCTCAAGTCATCACATGTCCAGGCCCGTCTTAAGTTTGCCAATGACTATCTGGATGATCCAGAGGAGGCATGGGAGAAAGTCATGTGGTCAGATGAGACCAAAATAGAACTTTTTGGTCTAAACTTCACTCGTCGTGTTTGGAGGAAAAATAAGGATGAGTTGCATCCCAAGAACACCATCCCTACTGTGAAGCATGGGGGTGGTAACATCATGCTTTGGGGGTGCTTTTCTGTGAAGGGGACAGGATGACTGCACTGTATTAAGGAGAGGATGAATGGGGCCATTTATTGTGAGATTTTGAGCAACAACCTCCTTCCCTCAGTCAGAGCATTGAAGATGGGTCTTCCAACATGACAACGACCTGAAGCACACAGCCAGGATAACCAAGGAGTGGCTCCGTAAGAAGCATATCAAGTTTCTGGAGTGGCCTAGCCAGTCTCCAGACCTAAATCCAATAGAACATCTTTGGAGGGAGCTGAAACTCCATATTGCTCAGCGACAGCCCCGAAACCTGACAGATCTAGAGGAGATCTGTGTGGAGGAGTGGTCAAGAACTACAGGAAACGTTTGACCTCTGTAATTGCAAACAAAGGCTTCTCTACCAAATATTAACACTGATTTTCTCAGGTGTTCAAATACTTATGTTCATAAGTGCAAGACAAATACATTCTTTAAAAATCATACAATGTGATTTCCTGAATTTTTTTTTTAATTCTGTCTCTCAGAGTGGGAATGCACCTACAATGTGATTTCAGACCCCTCCATGATTTCTAAGTGGGAGAACTTGCAAAAATCGCAGGGTGTTCAAATACTTCTGTTCCTCACTGTATTTGTGTGATATATACTTTTGGGAATATTGGTATTAGCATATTCATATTCACAATGCAAAATTGACAGAGTTCAAATTCCCCAGTCCTTTTCTCCCCCCCCCTCAGTTTATGCAAGAGTATTCCTGCACCCCGATGCATAAAAGGTATTCTACCTCAATTTAATCCATACCAGATACGGGTGGGAAGATTTCCCAGAAACACCGTTACCGGTAAGCGTAACTGATACTTTTTTCTACTGCCTGTAATACCTTCCTGCTGAACACCAGGTCCTGTGTGGACAAACAGCTCTACACTGTAGTGTCTCTTGAAGGTGTCCTGGCTTGTCCATGTGGCTGCTCAGCAGATCCGTTCAGTCGATACTCCTGCCCTCTCTGCCCAAGAGGTCACCAGCGATCTAGTAGAGTGAGCTCTCAGGTGGAATGGAACTGAAACCCCTGATTGCGCGTAAGCTAAGGAGATGGCTTGTCTGATCCATCTAACTATTGTCGGTTCAGATGTTTGCTGACCCTTCCTCAGGCCGCTAAGAAAAATCAAAAAGGTGACTTGACTTCCTGAGAAAAATACAGTAGTACAATCTCTTGTGTCCTGTGAAATCGAGATGTTACTTTGGGCAAATAAAGGGGATCCTGTCTAAGCACTACCTTGTCCTCCAATACTACCAGGAAGGGTTCCTTGATTGCCAGGCTCTGGAGGTCGCCTATCCTCCTTGCCGTAGTGACGGCTAACTTAAAAGATAACATCCTAACTAAAGTCTGTGCCACTGGCTCAAATGGTGGCTTGGTTAACGCCTCTAACACCAGCGTTAGATCCCAAGCTGGAAATCAATCTTAATAGGGGTCACTCTTTCCCTGGTCCCCAGAAACCCCCAGGCTCTACATAACAGTGTCTCAGACCTATGATCCATCGGATCCTTGATGTTACCCAAGTCCTCAAAAAGGACAGGTCTGACTTTTTAGACACTTGCGAAAGCACGGAGTCTAATCTGGGGGTCTTGAAGAATTTCTCTTTCTCCTCTTTCCCAAAGGGGTACCGTCTTTTCCAGGTTTTTAAATTTTAAGACTCTCCTCTCGGGATCCTTCCATTCTCTCAAGACAATATCTTTGAGAGTTTGGTGTATGGGTAGTACCCTAGTTTGTGGCTTCACCAACCCCCTATACAGCTTATCCTCAGCTGAGGCTTGCACAGGCTGTTCCAGGATGTCTTCTAAGGCGTAAATAGCTCTTAGGAGCACCTCCATTTCACCCGCTGCAAAAAGGTGTCTACCTGGTCTAGACTCCTCACTAGCCTGGCTACCACCTTCCAAATCTTCCCCCTCATCCAGGGAGCTTTGATCAGAAACCTCCACCTCCTCCAGGTCTTCCTCCTCTGTGGCCTGCGAGGATGAAGGCCCTAAACCCCACCACTGCTTCCCCGCCCGAGTCCCCTCCAGGGAAGACAGGGCCTCCCCACCTCTCTAGATGTCATGGCCGTCTTGAAGGATTGTAAGGTTGCTAACATCTCTGTTTGCACCAACATGGTGGATACATTTGTAACAGAAGTGTCTGGGCTTGGTCTTGCAGAACTTTATCACTGCAATAACCACACTGTTTGGAGCAGGGGCGAGAGGGCTTTATCCTTAGGTGTCTTGTGAGTTCTCTTTTGAGCGGTTTCACACGACTCTAGGGAAAAAAAAACAAGGGGCCCATTTAAATGGTTTATCCTCCCCCCTAGGCACACCTGTAGGGGAGTGGGTAAGGACCTACCTCCCCTCCTCTCCTCCCCACCAGCCGAGTAAGACTTCTCCCTGGCTGCAGCCACTGCCTTCTCTTCCATCCTCAGCAGGGCTCTTTGGGACTGCGTTACCTTCGCTAGGCGCTGGGTCCGTTTCCAGGGGTAAATCCTGGAGGTTCCCCACCGTCCTCCTAGAGGAAGAGAGAATGCCGACTGGAACCACGATCTTTAGGGCGGAAGTCCCGCCCTCACCGGAAGAGTTCTGGGAGAGAGGCTTGGAATGCAACCCCGCTCCTACTTCTGGTCCTGCTCTCTCTGCCCTTTGCCCACTGGGCTTCAGGCAGACTAGCCGTGGACTCCATTGAGGCCGCCCCGTCACCCAACAGGGACACACCGCTCAAGAAATGCCAGACAGCGATCCCCATACCCACGAGAGCCACCTGGCGGCCTGGTCCTCTCCTCGGCAGACCTTCCCGCTGCCCAAGAAGAGGGAGGAAGGATGCTCATCCAGGAACACCAGGCACTCTTTCCTGGTGCCTGGAGAATTCCACTGCATTGGGAACCCCTGGAGTGGGTAAGTGACCCCGGCTACCTAGAGAGGACCTTCCAGCTCCAGGTCTTCGGTCATAAAAAAATAACAAAAAGGTTTTGCTGCAAGGAAACAAAAACACAATTAAAAAAAAAAAAAAAAAAAAAAAAAAAAACTGAGGAGGGGAGGAAAGGGCAGGGAATTTAATTTTTGATTGTGTTTCCTGTCAGTGGAGCTAGTTATCTCAGGTGTGCCTGGAAGATGACTGGAGATAAATAATATCAAAAAACAGTTTTAAAATCACCAAATATATATTTGCATTGAAATATTTATTATTTTTAGCAATAACATGTGGATGGATTTCTTCCAGTCAAAGGCTGTGTCACACCCCTCCAGATCGTGTCTTAGAAGAATAGGGCAGTAAAGCCTCCATCAATCAAGTTGTAACATCCCCCCCCTTTTATTTAGCTGGTTAGTGGGCATGAAGGAGGAGGGAGGGAGTGGGCTGTCATTTATCACTGTGCATACGCCCATGTGTGACTCTATAGTCACACAGGCTGCTCAGATATGATAGGGAGGAAATGATCAGCATAGAACCTTACTGAAAACTGAGCACGTGCAGAGTTGCCTCTACAGCTGCAAAATCCCTAGCTGAATTGGGGACATGAACAGAAAGCAGAGATAGAGAGCAGCAGCAGGATCAACTAGGTTTTTTGTAGAATACAGAAAACAAATCTCATAGTGACTGAATGAGTATGAACAGCATGTAATACAGCGTTAATTGATATTTTTTTTATGATGAGGGTTTAGTGACACTTTAAATAAGACAAATAGATCAGTATACAATCTACAGTAACACAGCCAAACAATGAAGCTAAACCAACAAAAGGTACCTGCTTTTACTGCACAATACTGTGTATGGCACCATACGTTTTTTTTTAGAGCAAGATTAGAGAGTGGGAAAAGATTTTAATTTTGTAATGTGACCAGGGTGTACCTGAATTTGACTTGCTATAACCCTCTTTAAATCCCTTTCACAACAGTACTTGGACTGGGAATAGGAGGGGCAGGACTGGAAGCCACTAATGTGCGATTAATGCAAATCTGTTGACATGGAGAAGAAAGCAGAGTCAACAAAGATGGCCTCATCAGTACTGTTCTTAAAAGTCTTATTCACAATTGTCTGGTTTGATGCAGCAACTCAAAAAGCATTTCAAGGAAAAATCCTATTACTTCCTAGGAGGTTGGTTCACATCTGTGCACTGCAGTTTAGTGTAGAAGGGAAACACATATCACTGCAAGGTATTATGCAACGCACAATAAACAGTGTAAATAAAACCTCACTGTTTGGTCAGAAGGCTGGAGGTGAGGACATCCCTGTATTACTTAAAAGGGAACTCCAGGCAGAACAGGTATGTGATATGTAGTGTGTACAAGAAAGTTACCTTTTAATGATGTATATCCTACACCTGGATCGCTGCTGTGTAGTGTAAAAAAAAAAAAAAAAAAAAAAAAAAAAAAAAGGAAGGAAGAAATCTGTTTCCTTTATGGCAGAAATTACAGCTAGGGCTGCACTTCCAGCACTGTGGATATGAGATAGTGTTGTTTACCCTTTCCTTTCCCCTCACCTTGTCCCTGTACTGTGAATGGACAAGACCCGTGACTCTCAGAATGAAGAATTCCTGTAGTCTATTCTCTCCTCCTCGCCCCTTGTCAATTCATAGAACACCTTGGTTTCCTGGAACAGAATACAAGGCGTTCTGTGAATGGACAAGGGTAGAGGATAGGGAACGTAAACAGGACCCCTTTACTTTGAGAGAGCTGATGAGTACCGCACTAGCTGTACCTTCATGCATGAATGAAACTGATTTTACACTACACAGCAGTGATCCAGACATAGGATACTCTTCATTTTAGGGAACTTTTTTTCATACACACTACATATCACAAAGCCATTGCACCTGGAGTTCTGCTTACTTGTAAGTGGAGTCATTAACCTGGTTGTGCTGTGAGAGAGGGATTTGTAAAGATCAGGAATAGATAAACAGAAATGCAAATCCTCCGGTAGGTAAAACAGCTCATAACAGTTTGCCTGGATGTCAGCTTTAACACATGCAATGCACTTACACTGTGTCTTTGCAACGTTGTTAAATTCCTCCTTTTCCGTTTTGTTAGCAGAGAATGCACAATTTTCAGGTGTGTAAGGTTCCTGATCATCTAGATTTAATCTGGGAAATAAAAGTAAGTATAAGAGATGAAAAATGTTTTTATAAGCAGTTTACATGATGTTTTTGTATTCCTTTTCAACTTCTAAACTAGTATAGCTACTGTAAATAAGCACACATATTTAGATTAAAGTAAGAAACCTTTTCTCATCATTGTGCCATATCACTTTTTCTCATATGAAAAACCGCATGCACACCAAATATGCAGTTGAATACACATACATGTCCTGTTTCCTGGTTATATTTTCCAGCCATTCCCAACACACACACAAACACTTTGTCCTTTCTTGGTTTGGCATTACTATTGCCTGAGCCAGCCTCTGCTCACCAGTCAAAGGTGATGATGCTGATGATGCTCCAGTGTACAATGAGAAGACCTAAGGAGAAGAGGTGACACAAAGGTGCACTGCTCTTCCAGGAAGCTGCATTGTACACTTTCAAATGTTTTTTTGTTGTTTAACTAGGAATTAGCTTAGTCATATTCTCTGTGTCATTTGTTTGCCTTTCCTTGACAGGCTCACATGTCATGGTTGCAGTTTGTAGGGTCATGGCTGACTGATCTCCCTATGTTCATGTATTTATTCATTCACCTAGCTGGTTACTATTCACTAAAGGGACAGGCAACTTCTGGTTCCAGGTCACACATTGTCCAATCCATGCCTTGCCATTTTCTCTGTGTTGCATCACAAATGAGGGAGTGCTAATATCATGAAAACACATCTCTTCCAGCATGGTGATCAGTCTGTTTGTGTATGTGTCAGATATAATTACTATTAGCTCTCACCTGCACCAGTGCTAGACCAAGAAACCCAGGGACTGTGGGACATGTAGGTTCTTCACAGGAAGTGTCAGTTTTTAGATTGCAGACATGCAATAATCTGCGCAGTGCCATGCCGCATGCCTCATGTTTGAACAAAAACAAAACTTCTCATACTGGAATGTGAAGAATTGCTCTATTATAGGCTGTGTTTACAGGGCAACAAATGTCACCATGAAACTACGTGATCAATGCACATTTTATGTAGGGGAAAAAGTGCAGGTAGGAAGGTTTCTAATGTCTTTAATATTCCAATATTAAAAAATGGGTGTTCGTGTACTTACAGCTGGAGATTAATGTTGTCGTTTTCCTCAAGATCATCTCCACAAAACTCCCATCTTTTCCACCCATCTTCAGTTTTTATCCAGGTCCAGCCTGGAGAACGCCAGTCTTGACCCAAAAATGGCATGACTATCCTGTTGATCAGAGCAATAGATTACCATCAGATCCTTCTGAACCAGTCGTGTCATAATGGATTACTAACAGGTATTCTCTTACACAGCAATCATTTATAGAACAATTTCGTTTTACTTTGTTAGCAGAGTTGCTGGTAACACTATATTCCTAAAGACACACCGTCCTTTATTTGTGTAGGTTGTACTGTGGAGCTACTATATACACTCACCGGCCACTATATTAGGTACACCTGTTCAATTGCTTGGTAACACAAATTGCTAATCAATCACTTGGCAGCAACTCAATAGGCATCTACACGTGGTGAAGACAACTTGAACTTCAAACCGAGCATCAGAATGGGAAGAAAGGGGATTTAAGTGGCTTTGATTGTGACATAGTTGTTGGTGCCAGATGGGCTGGTCTGAGTACTTCAAAAACTGATGATCTACTTTGATTTTCATGCACAACCATCTCTAGGGTTTACAGAGAATGGTCCGAAAAAAAAAAAAATATTCAGTGAGCGGCAGTTGTGTGGATAAAAAAAAAATTCTTTGCTGATGTCAGAGGAGAATGGGCAGACTGGTTCGAGATGATAGAAAGGCAACAGTACCTCATGTCAATATGGACCAAAATCTCTGAGGAATGTTTCCAACACCTTGTTGAATCTATGCAGTTCTGAAGGCAAAAGGGGTCCACCCTGGTAGTAGCAAGGTGTACCTAATAAAGTGGCCGGTGAGTGTATGATTAGTTTAATCACTCCCTTGTTTAAGGTTGCCCTGGGTGAGACTACATACTGGGAGAGAGATCTGTGACATTACATATCTAACACAGATAGAAGTCTGCAAGACCAAAGTTGTTTTAACAGTTTGGCAGTCTGTATTGCCAAGTTGAAATAAGCTCAAGCCCTTTAACACAACCAATATTTCCAAATATTTTGTTCATTTAAAAAAGCTAAAGTAGGAAACACAGATTAAACAGAAACAATTTTTTGTTGCTAATGGTCATTTTAATGGGGTTCTTGACATTCAGATTACTTTTGAGCCCTGAAATTGCAAAGTGTTCCTAGTGCAGGAACTACTTTCAGAATCAGTGCAACTCCGACGAAGTCAGAGTTGCACTGATTTGAATGGTTCCACTACAGACAATAGGGTGCAACTTGTCATGTGATTTGAAACTGTCAAATTGCATGACAAGTCGCACTGGTGTGAACCAGGGCTGCAAAGCAAAAAACAGGTTTCAGACCACATAAAAATAACAATATCAAGGCTGATTTACTAGAAGAGTTGAGAATGTTCCCACAATACCCTGATAATTTACTTTAATTATCCAACCAGGTGAAAAGCAAATCCATGTTTTCTTATTGTATCTGCACATGAATAGAGAAGTTGTAAAAAAAAAAAAAAAAAAAAAAAAAAAAAAAAAAAAAATCACAATTTATTGTGGGAAGATTCTCAACTCCTTTAGTAAATTAGCTTTATTAGGTTCCACACTTCTTTAGCGTACCTGCTGTAACCTGTCACATCAATAATCCATTTACATCTAACAGTTAAGGTGTGTTGCACTAACATGGCCATTACTGCAATGTAGTTTAATGCATGTTACATGCAGTAGCATGTTGTAGGGACTTTCTTTTTTAATGATAGATAATGATCACCTGTGCTTAGGACACACCAATCAATAGCACACACTCAATATTAAACAAAAACAGGGCTGCTGCTCCTATAAAAAAGGTACAACCTTAACAACATAATACACAAAATTGCAGGAACGCTGTCTCAATGTATGTTATAAGACATGAAAAACATGCTTAAATAATGAACACAGAACAATAAATAGTGAAATAAAGTGAACAAAAATCCCCTTCACAAGGTGATAAGTGCTCTGTGCTCCCCGCCTGAGTGCCCCTCACTCACCAACTTTAATGGTGAAATAAGAGTCTTTCACGCTTTTGGTGGGGCATAGGAACTCATGCTGGAGCTTGTAGTCCTTCTGATTAAATCTTGCTTGTCATTCCCAGTGATTCAAATGTAGAGCCAATAGGTATATACATGAAAGGAATGGAGAGAGTCATCCAAAATAGGGTAATTCCATTTATTAGTAAAAGCAGATACACTGGTATTGCACTCACATGTTTCCAGATACAACAGGCATGAATCTTCAAGTGTACAATAGTAGGTCACTAGTGTTCCACAAAGCTCCAAAGCTGAAACTCGTTGGTGAGTGAGGGGGCACACGGGCGGGGAGCACAGAGCACTTATCACCTTCTGGATGTGAAAGGGATTTTTGTTCGCTTGATTTCACTTTTGGGGCTTTATTTCACTATTTATTGTTGTGTTTTCTTAATTAATGGCAGTCCAACTCACGGCAAAGCAACTCCAATGAATGTCTCACATAGTACCTTGCATTGTGGTAAACTGTCTGAAAAAATGCCACAAACCTTTTTTTTTTAAAGTCTTTTCTAGTGCATTGACAGCCTATTCGTTTTAATGGCAGTCTTGTTGGGAACGCTTCCCCTCTTCCGGTCTCAGGGATACAGACAACAATAGAAAATGGATGAAGGTTGTAGCCTGCCTTTCTATTACTGGAAAAACAAAAGGAACAAAAAAAGAAAAAAAGGATTACAAATTTTTATGTCACTGACAGAAACATTTTCACTCATTTTTTGTCCCACCGATAATGTTGTCATTATTGTGGAAAACTAATTGCAGCAAATGGAACCGCAGTCAGCAAAAAAACTTTGACAAGAGGGTGTATCCTTCCCCTAAAAACGGCTTTGGCTGGAGTTCCACTTTAACTGCAAATTGTCCACTTATTTGAAATGGTGGGCAAAACCTGGAGCACAGGTATCAAAAGGAGGCCGGGGGATGGCGGGGGTGGGTCAGAGTACAACTGCACAGCGGGAGAGACCCCACATAACACATCTCTGTGTTGACACGGGGGTCTGGCGTTACATTTTTTTTTTTTTTTTAAATGCACCGAGTTCAAAAACTGAACATATATACCCAGCTTAAGGTGGATCTTCACACAGGCCTCCCCATTTTTTTTTTTTAACCCCTGTCTACCTGATTGCGGCTCCTGCATAGTTAAGATACTCACCCGCCCAGCAGATCCAGCATTGTCTTGCAGAGATCCTCTTCTCTTCAGTCCCCCACTAGGTCCTCTACCACCATCTTCTTGCATGATGTCATTCAGAAGCTGCCAGCTCTTCCAGTTTTAGCTGCTGGTCTCCTGATAAGGAGTAGCTAGGCCTGCCCCCCTCCTCCTTTCTCAATATACCTCCTGGGATATTTGACGTACATATCACAGGAAACACAGCGGGCAAAGTGTATGTCATTTGCCTAGGTGAGCAATGTGCATGGGGGGGGGGGGGGGGAACCCATGATGAAGGGAACATCTGGTGAAATTTCCTATATATGGTCACAAGTGCTGTAGAAAAGGTTGTCGTGGCTTAATCGGAGTAGGTATTTTCACTGATATTGTGTAAGAGGTTCATAACTTCCAGACAGATCTATGTTCTGTAAATAAATAACCATGGAATTATGATTGTATTGTTAATATTTAATAAGAGGTTATTTCTTGTAATGACAGATGGGTTTAGTACTTGCCAACCTACTGATATGTTGTTATCTAGGAAAATAAGGATCTAAACCAGCACACCTTGGTATAGTGATCATCTTGTCCTTTATTCACATAGAGTAACAGGCATCAAAGGGCTTGGACGAGATGATCACTATACCAGGCTGTTCTGGTGAAGATCCTTATGTTCCTATGATTGCATGGTGGCACCCCTCTACTCCTTTCCCAACAAGGACTATGCCTCCCGGGATATGTGAGGTACATATTCCAGGGGGAAGAGCAGGCAAAGTGCATGTCATTCGCCTAAGCGGGTGAAGTTCATGGGGGAGGGGGATCCAGAGCTTTTTTATTTAAAAAAAAGAAAAGTACCGGTAGATTAAAATAATTTTAAAAAGCCCAATTTGAACAGCAAAGGGGAAGAGGTGTGCATTGGAGGGGGGGGGGGGTATTAAAAAGGTAAATAAAAAACCCTATTTGCACAGCAGAGGGGAGGAGGCGTGGAGAGGAAGCAACTTTAATTTTAGAGCGATGATCGGTTTTAAGGCGTGTCCTTTGACAGGAAAAATCTGGAGCCAAACAACTTCTCTGCTTGCCATGTCAGAATTTGGGAAATGTGCCCATGGTGAAATTTTTCTATATATGGTCACAAGTGCTGTACAAAAGGTAGTCATAGCTTAATAGGATTAGGTTGAGTAATATTTAAGAACAGGTTATTTCTTGTAATGACAAATGGGTTAAGTACTTATCAAAACTAATGATGTGTTGCTACCACAAACTAGGAAAATAAGGATCTTCACCAGCACACCTTGGTATGGTGATCATCTTGTTCTTTATTCACATAGAATAATAGAATAAGAGGCATCACTGGGCCTGGACAAGATGATCGCTATACCATAGTGTGCTGAAGATCCTGATTTTCCTATGGTTGACAGGTCATCTATGGTGGCGTCATCCTCCAGGGAATGCATTAACAGAGAAGTATTTTTTTAAATCATAATTATCTAGATCAGGGGTGGGCAACTGTGTCCCTCCAGCTGTTGTAGAACTACAAGTCCCATGAGGCATTGCAAAACTGACAGTTACAAGCATGACTCCCAAAGGCAGAGGCATGATGGGACTTGTAGTTCACCAACAGCTGGAGGGCCACAGTAGCCCACCCCTGATCTAGATGGATGCAGCATCGATTTGATACTGCATCTGTCCCCCACCAGCTCTAAGGGTGAGAACTGTGCGGTCAACATGTAGCAGATCGCTCATTCTCCCAGGCGCTCTTAGCAGAGAGAGGTGACAGTCAGTCATCACTGTCTGCTCTGCCCCCCCAGCGTTCACTGGAATGGCTGGCTTAGGCACCAGTCCAGGCTTCTGGGTGGATCCCGACCATATGGTCGCAATCGTTCCTCAGCCTGGACTGGCTCTGTGTCATTAACCGACAGCAGG